GCACCTGCAGAGTCCCACCCACTCAGCAAGTGGGCTATGCAGCTTCACTCTCTTCCTCACCACCACTTCCTTAGTCAAATGTGGAAGACCCTCTCCCACTCCCAAGAAAAAAAAAAAAAAGAGGAGGAGAAGAGAACAGTAAGAAGGTGAAGAACCGCTCTACAAAATCCAGTTTCTTCCTTTTTACCTTTTCTGGAAGACCACGAGGGGAGGGCAGAGTTGTGAGTTCCCAGGACCCACCTGCCTGTGGGTTCCAGAAGGGTTAGAAACAGGGTCTCATAGAGGACCACAGAGCCTTGGGCCTGGCCCCCGCTGCACCCCTAAACTGAGATTCAGGCAGCATGGGACATTCTTATTTCCTTAAGAAACAACCAGGTATTTCTGACTTTCCTAAGTGTTTGATTTCTCCCTGGGCTGTCCGACTTCCAGGAGTCATTTCCCATAAAAGTACGAGAGAAGCTGTGAGTTCACTGATTGAAGCATTAAATAATGAGAACAGGTAATTATGGAAGTGACCAGGAGTAAACGACACAATACAACCACATAAATGACGAACAGTCTGCGAGAGGTGTAAGAAAAAATAAATACAAATAATAATTAAGTTCTTGAAGGTGATGGAATGAAATTTTATAGACATTAACTCAAACGACACTCTTTAATGGCTTCCTCACATTTGGGCGTAGAACAGGCATCTATTTACAGTGACAGCAAGTGCTTTGGTTCAGCTTCAGCACTGAGGAGACAGTCTGACCAATGGACCCTGATTTCGGCTCAAAGACTATGGCAAAACCTCCAGTTTTCCCCTGGATTCACTAACAGAACCATGAGGGGCAAGAGAAGTAGATACAACAGAAATGCCAGACTCAGAAAGCAAGAAAATATTAAGGATAGCGATTTGCTTTCAACAGAGCCACATGATATGTTTTTCTTTTTATTCCCCTTCAGTGGGAAGAAAAGGAGCAAAGCTATATTAAGTTCCTCCAGCAAAGTGTGAAAAAAGAACCAATGGAGTGGGAATCCTAAGATAAAAACCACAGAGCAAGGAGTTAGGTAGGATGCTATGCCCTCTGAAATGCACCAACCCTACTCTCAGATAAGCCTGGTCTATTTCTATTTACTTTTGTGAATAACTGAAAAGCAGTGAAATCTGACTAGCCAGCTCTCCACACAGCCAGTAACTGATTGGAACACAGCAGAGCTCTGAGAATTTCTCAGGAAAATGAGCCCAACTCCCTGCACTTGGGGCCACAGACTCACATGACATGGTTCAGGGAAAAGTCCACATCACACGCTGCCCTACCTCCCACCCTACCCCCTGCAGCTTAGAGACAGTGTCTGTAATCCGGCTGCTTCCCCCACTCCAAATGACAAACTCTAGATTGAGTATTTACTCCCTTACCTTTAGTCACCTCACAATCTTATTTCTGCTTCTGTTAATAAATAGAAGTTTCCCTACCTAAAATAAACGGAAGTGGCCCTTTATCTAGGATGGCATTATCCCCTAAGTGAAGACACCTTCAGCGAAAATACCAGGGAGGAGTGGAGACCTGAAATGTGCAGACACAGAGGCTCCCTCAGCCTGTTTGGATACTGAAGTTCTCTGGGCTGAGAGCTCAAGTGTTGGGTGCCTTTAATTCTCCCTTGAAAATATGACACTTGATAACCTCATCATGAACTGGTTCTCAAAATAGAGACTGGACCTCCCAGTGGATCCCTAGACTGGCGTAACCTGAGCCGAGCAGTCAGGACAGGAGCTGACAGTAGCCAGTGGTGCTACCAGCCCTTCCCATCCTCTCAGACCTACAGCCACCCACCCACCCCACAGGGCACGGCCAGGACAGGGACCTTGGGCTCAGCCCAGTGCCCAAACACCTCCATCCAGAGCTGTAATTAGGCCGGGCACAGTGGCTCACCTACAATCCCAGCACTCTGGGAGGCCAAGGTGGGTGGATTGTCTGAGCTCAGGAGTTCCAGACCAGCCTGAGCAAGAGCAAGACCCCATCTCTGCTGAAAATAGAAAAATTAGCCAGGCATTGTGGTGGGTACCTGTAGTCCCAGCTTCTTGGAAAGCTGAGGTAAGAGGATTACTTGAGCCCAAGAGTTTGAGGTTGCTGTGAGCTATGATGCCACTGCACTCTACCCAGGTAACAGAGGGAGATGCTGTCTCACAAAAAAAAAAAAAAAGAAAGAAAAGAAAAAATTCTCAATGAAGAACAAACTGGAGGGACACCAAGAAATACCATGCTGATGAGGCCAAGGACACACTAATTGGATTTGCTGATCAGAGCGACTAGGCACTGAACATGGGGTTTGTGAGAGGTGACGGGCCTCCAGGCCTCAGCTACCATTGAAAGAGAAGGGGGAGCCTCAGGGGAAGAGAGAGAAGAGATCAGACCTGATCTCCAAGGCTGCTCCACTCTAAAACCTGTCTCCTCTCCCGATGGGCATTTCCAACCTTCACTATTCTCTTAAGCCTATTGGTGCAATCTGTTTACAACCCACCAACATGCCGTCTTTCTGTGCGTCCTAACCCTGCATTTCCCTAAGTTAACTTCCGTTTCACATCACAGCCCCCCAGCCTGCGGGACTGGTGGTCCTTGCCGTACCCGTGCTGGTCCTGATGTGGCTGAGGCAACCCAGGCCTGAGATCAGCCCTTCCAAGTCAGGTGACGGGGTGAGGCTCTGAGTTTCCTCTGCTCCATGCTGCTAGGTGAGTAAGGAGCCCGGTTTTCCTTTCCTGCCTCCCAGGGCCCCTAGCTGGGCCCTATCCACCTGCCTCCAATATAAAAACACAGTGGTGGGAGCTTTTATTGCAGAACTTTTATATCCGGAACTTAGACCGCAAGTTCCTGATTTCCAGAGAGCAATTACATCCCCTCAAGCTATACTCAAACACTTGGAACAGCCGTGGACACCCTGACCTGGAGAGACCTTTCCTTCACCCACCACCCAGATGTTTCACTGGTCACACCAAACCTCCTACCCCCAGGGGCAGATTCTTGTTTGGAGGGACCACAAGTTTCTACAGCGTGGGGGCCCTCTTAAGAGAAAGTACAATACAACTTTAGAATCTGGCCACGAACTGGGCCCAGTGCAGAAGCCCCTGGCTTTTCAGCCTCAGCCCACTCAACATGCCCCCACCCTGCATTCTCCTTGGCCCACCGTGGCCTCACTCAGCCTCACAGTCCACCTTCTACTTCCCCACAGGCTGAGCACTTGAGTTTGGCTGAACAAGAAAGCCACTTAGTTCCTATATATCAGGACAAAAACTTAGCAGAAACTCTGACATTCCCTTTAAAAGGGAACTCCATTGTGTTTCCAAAGAACCCTTCCTTGCTTATGTACGCACAGGCCTAACTTCACGCACTGCACCCTCAGGAGGAAGGAAACTCAAGCACACGTACGTGCCGGGCCTTCAACAGCAGCCAGGCCAGGAGCTGCCATCCCATTCAACAGATGAGAAAACAGAGGCAAGTGACTTAAAATGTGATGGGGGTTCAGGTAGAGAAATTATAGGGCACCAGGTGCCAGAGAAATGAAAATGGTTAAGAGACATGCAAAGGAAAAGGCAATTTTTCTGAGGAGACGCAGGAAAACTGCACAGAAGGGAGGCCTGGGTCGGGGGGTGAGGGGTCAGCAGAGTGATGGGACAGCGGCCAACTCAGGGAGGGGCAGAGTCTGTGTGTGGTGCTCAGCAGGAGGTGCTCCCATCCCTAGTGAGTGAGGAGCCTTGTCCCCTTATGAAGGAAACCGCTCTGGAGCAGCACCTTCCCCTCCTGCTACCTGAGAGCTGCCATCCCATTCAACAGATGAGAAAACAGAGGCAAGTGACTTAAGTGACTGTGTGATGGGGGCTCACACAGGCCAGGGCCAAACTCAGAGTCCTTGACTTGAGTGCTAAATAAATGTAGAGTACAAATGTCTGAACACAATAATTAAGAAACTGTGGTGAAAGCTATGTTAACCAGTTTGTTGTAAGTATTTCAACTTGTATATAAAACCAACACATGGAAGCTTGGCGCCTGTAGCTCAAACAGCTAGGGCACCAGCCACGACACTGGAGCCGGTGGGTTCAAACCCAGCCCGGGCCCGCCAAACAACAGTGACAACTGCAA